GTAGATTAAGTCCCCAAAATTTCAGCCCTGTAGCTTTTGTAGGTCTCGAGATGAAAAATCGGTACAGAGGCCCTGCTCGCGCGCGCACACACACACACATACACACACACAAACACATACACACAAACAAATACACACAGACAATCTCTCGTCAGTATGCGTTTTTCGCATTGCATAACTGCAAAAACGCATAAAAAGGCCAAAAAGAACATTTCCAACATCAGTTTACATATTAAATTGTAGGTCAGTGACCGTTCATACTGTTAACGGCCCAATTGCTCCTCCGGACCGCATAAAAACGCATGATCGTGCCGGGCAACTAAGAGCACGTCGTCATTTATTTGAATTCTCGCATGAATCCTTTACAACCTTTGGAATCCTTTTGGAATCCTTTATAACTCCTTTCTGGACAGGGCGACTAACTTGGTAACTAGGCTCCCTTGTCTCATTTATTTTTTTAGCTGTTAAATGTTAAGAATTTGATGTTTCAGGCGTTTGGCCAGCTGCCGTGTTTACAGGATGAAGACGTTAAAATTGTTCAGACCGGCGCAATTATGCGACATCTGGGTAGAAAACATAGTAAGCCACGATTATGCTTCCTTCACTTGTCGTGTTCTTCATTCTTTGCGGAAGAGACAAAATTAATCGTTATCAGGACAGCTCAGACTACCGGAATGGAAACCGGTGTAAACCATTTGGGAAATTATTGGCATCTTTTTAGTTCTGCTGGGAAGAACTGCAAAAATGCATGATCGTATCCGCTACCTAGTGCATTCCGCTTTCCTAACTTGACTTGTCGTATCAGACACAATCATACGCATGCAAGCAAATATGTGTCATGCAAACGGACGTTGTCTTCCCATGAAGTCCCTTCGGCTTGTGCACCCTCGTGAAAATTTGCTGGTTCAGATAAAGATAAAACTAGGAGAAAGAGGTCGTGGTCTTGCAACGTCAACAGGTCTAACAGTTATTTGTGTCCCACCAGCTTTCAGCTCTGTAAATTGCCTAACTCCGTGTAAAGTTAAATACACCGCATCAAGTCGAAAAAGTTTTTTTTATAGATCTAATGGGTCGAGCAGAGATGGACCATGTTCACGCGGATATGTTTTACGAAGGTATTAACGACATCATGAGTCAATATTATGAATTAATTTATGGAAATTACGTATGAATTTTTTTGTCTTTCACGCTTAAATAAGGAACTGAAAACTGTGGAATGAAGGAGCTTTTATTTTTTCTTAGAGCTTTGATTTTTCCTTAATTTTTTCTTATCTGTCCTTAATTCTTTTTATTTGTTTGGGGACTTTGGAAGGGTAAAGCCACTAGATGCAGAATGAGGAACACAGCTACAGACAGGCGAGTTGAAAACATTCATTAACCTTATCATCAACAAAAAATAACCTTGAAAATTCAAAATTTTAGGTAAAAGCTGCCAATAAATACCTGTTGTAATAATGTTGTCGAATGTTCTATAAGAGGCTCAAATTAAAGTAAAACCTCTGACAATACGACAGGTTTATTGCTCAAAGTAAGTCAAACCAAAAGAGTACAAACCAGTTTTTGTTCAATTATTTCTGGATCGGTGTCGGCATAGCACTTTTTACGCTTTCGTCATCAATAATTTGCTTCTTACTTAACTTTTAATCGTAGTCCTGCCACATTTATTTGAAACAAGATCTACTATACTTCACTTTATAAAGAAAACAACTTCCACGCAGCTTATAGTCATAGCCAAAATAAATCTGGACTACTTTAGTCAATATACGAAATGAATTTGTTGACGCTTCCGTAGGTTTTCCAGAGAATTCCCTTAATGAATAATATTTCCCAGGATGCTGAGAAACAGATATTGTATTCACTTACACCCTAAAATCCCTTGGTTGGTATTTTCGGATCTTCTACTTCTCGTTGCACTTCCCTAAATATCTATTTTTTCAGGATGAGAAAAAAAGCACGTTTGTTAATAACTATTTACCAGATGCTCTGGATAAATTGGAAAATTTATTAAAAATGCGGAGTGATGGAAATGGTTTCATTCTTGGTGAAAACGTATGTATTCAGTTCTGCTGCCCTGCAAAATGTTAATTAAACGTTTCTATGAAATTAGACTTAGACCTAGAGTTCAATTTTGTGCATTCTTTTTGACTTATCAGGATAAAACTCAGGATGAAACGCACTGGACGAGCCCGTGCGATAATACGTTTTTGCACAGGACTTGGAGTACTCAGATCATTAACTGTGTGAATGATTATTGCTTTACACTTGTCTTTTGCGCTCACTGGCGTAAATCGCTGTAAATTTTGCATAAAGTGAATGTACAATTTCATTTAATAGGTGTTCTTTGAAAGTAACCTAGCTGTTCAGAGAACAGTTTTCCAGTCAAAACTTTTAGGTGTCCGTACGTGAGAACCACTGATATCTGAAGGCTGAATTTAAAACATTTAAGTTGTACTTGGACAGAGAAAATTCCTCTAAAGTTTCAGCTTTCTAGCTTTCTTGGCTCTCGAGTTAACAGTTTTCACGCCAAAACTTTCATACGCCCTCGCGTGAGTATTACGCACACTTGGGGGCGGAATTTGAAATCTTTAGCTAAAACATGCATAGGGAACATACGAAGTTAGAGCCCCTTACCTTGTCTGGTCCTGGAGATCGCTTTCCCGCCAGGAAATTTGCTTATTTCTTTGAGAAATCCGTATGCAGGGCTCAGACGTGCGCGAGTAATAATATTAAAACGGTAGGGTTGCGCATGGTATAGGCACATACTGCCAAAGTTTCAGCCTTCTAACTTTTTCGGTTCTCGAGTTGAAAGTGGGTGACAAAAAATGCGAACGCACAAACGCACACACAGCCTCTTGCCAATATGCGTTCTTGCAATTTGTATATATGCAGAAACGCATAAAAACTCATCAAGGCGAGACCGGTTTGTATGTTTGTCCTTGTGTACTTGTCCCTGGTTGCACACGAGTCATAGAGAATGAGACTAACTTTGAGACCGGTGTGTGTCTTGGCGTTGTAATTAAAGAAGATCCCAGAGTTCGTGGAGTTTGGGCTTCTCAGCTGCTCTGGTTGATAAGTTGAAAGTAGTTGAAAAAACCCGAACATACATACATACAGAAACACAGGCAACCTCTCAACAGTATGCCAGAAGTGGATAAGGCCTGTAATCATCTTTTGAGTCATTCGTGTTCATAGTTTCAATGTCAATTCCGAAACAGTCAAGTGACACCATGCTTGTACTCCAAGCATTTGCGGACAGATGAATTTTTTACCAGGAAAATAGCCAACTCGAAAACCAGAAAGATTAGAAAACTGAGAAGGATCTCGGTGCGGCTATATAAAATCAAGTCCAGCGTCCAAGCACGTTTTGGTCTCACGTATAGACGCAAGAAAGTCTTGGAGGGAAGTTTCCTGCCTCGGAAACCAGAAAAGACGGAAAGCTGAAAGTGCAGTGCGGTGCTTGGTGTCAATTCAAATTCAGTTTTCATGTTCGATTTACTCCAAAAGTGAGGCTTCATAAATTTGTGAAGTTCCTTATTAATTTGTAGCAAACCGAAACATATGACACCGAAATCTGACAATTGGCGAAATCGCTCTTGTTGCGACAAATCACATCAAGAAGAAGGTCATGTGTTTTGAGAAACGAGGATGTTGGACATGATGTAAGAGAGGGATGGATCCTGGGCTAACGAAAGGGACTGGAAGAGAGTGAGGGAGAGAGGAGGTGAACTAACAGCCCAACATGCTGCAGTGTGCTTGCTTTTCAGATCAGCTATGCAGACTATGCGTTGTTCGAGATGCTCGATGTTCTCCTTATCCTTTCGCCCACTGCGTTGGCCAAATTTCCGGCCCTAAAATCACTCCATCAACGATTGAATCAACGACCAACGTTACAGGTCATTTAACCCCTCAATCAAGTATTCTTGAGTCTCAGAGCAAGCTCCCTCCCCATGCTATCCCAAACGCAATTGGTCATACTGTTTATATTTTTGATTCAAGTAAAGCTTTCCTCGGCCCTCATGTTATTATTTGTTTCTGTTGTTTATTGGGCAAAGAGAAGTGCTCACTGCAGTTTTTGTGAAAGTGCATCAAAGTGAGCACTTTCTTGAAACATTCAACCTCACTGTCCACATCTGCTTAGTGCTTCCGTGGCTCTTTATCTTTCCAGCCTCTCCATGACTATTCTTCATAGTTTTCGTATTCCATTGTTCGAATTTTGTGTCATTCTTGCCAAACTTAGTTTTTTTTTCTTGCACAATTACAGCCCAACTTTTTACATTTTTCTTCCTTGACAAATGATAATGACTTTCCAGTGCAAAAGAACGTAGCATTGATTGCCTTCCTTTGCCACCACTGAATTTGAAATGTTTAGCTTTACAGAATATTCCTGCGATGCGGTAACAAAGATCACCATGCGTAGTCCTCGACAGCAGTCAGTTAATTTCCGCACCTTTTCGTGCACTGCGCAGCTACACTTTTTGTTGATTTCTATTTATTCCTAATTTCTTCCTCTACTGACCTTTGACCTTTGGCAGTACATTTGCTCTTCATGTCATAAAAGACATTAACACCACTTACGTGCACTGAATCGCCGGTGTCCACATAATATCGAAACGGAACTTGTTCAAACCCAGTCCGCTGTTGGCAGCTTATAAATACGAACCGTGGTCACTTATAAAAGCAAAAGGGCGAACACTGGCTGTGACAAAAAGAGTAGCCCAGCGAAGCCATAAGTGTTGATGTAGTCTGCGTCATATAAATTTCCGGAAAGGAATTTTGCGATGGAGACGTTGCTCGCCTTGCCAACAACTAATCTATGCTCAGAGAAGTAAGTGGTGACTGCTGCGGAGGACGAAGGGGGAAATAGGAAGCACGGAGGGGAGGGGGGGGGG